GAGAGGAGGAGGAAAGATGGAGGAGGAGGGAGGAGGAGGATAGGAGCGAGGAGGCTGCTATTGTATCGTGATTGGGGAGATGATGACACACTCATCGGTGGCGTAACTAGGATCGACGTTTCCTGAGCAGCTGCTGTGCGTGCGTGGTGGGGTGGATAGCAGCAGCGACGCATATGAGCGTCTAATCTGTAATTCCTGTCGCCGCTAACTCTGTAATTGCGTCTCGCGCGTGATGGATTAACGGATCCTATAGTTATCTTATTCTCTCCGGATCTGTCTGTGCGCCCTGGTTACTGCTCCACGCAGCCGGTGTGTCGATGTGTACGTCGCTCTATCGTAGCAGGACTGGCGTAATTCTTGCGCGCTAAAATGTAGAGATAGACGGATAGACGGCAGAAAGGTTGCTGCTCTTGCTTGCTGCTGAAGATCAGGAAAAAAAAATCGCAGCGAGGGAGAGAAGATGAGAACAGGAGAGATGGAACGAGGAGAACAGAAAGACAGAGAGAAGCAGAGAGAGCAGGAGAGAGATGAGAAGAGAGAGAGGAGCGAGAGAAGAAAGATGAGAAAGAGAGAGAGAGGAGTGAGGAGGAAGGAGTGTGGAAGAATAAGAAGGGCGCCATGGAATAAAACGGATAGAGAGTAGAAGACTGGGTGGCGAGTATTATATATATATATATATATATATATATAATAGAGACGCAGAGAGAGAGGAGAGAGAAAGATTGGAGAAGGAGATGAGAGAAAGAGAGCAGAGAGGAGACGCGGAGAGAGAAGAAGAGAGAGAGGCAGAAGACGAGAGAGAGATGAGGAGAGAGAGAAAAGAGAGGCAGAAGATGAGAGGAGACGAGCGGAGAGAGAGAGCGAAGAAGAGAGAGAAGAGAGGAGAGAGAAGAGAGAGAGAGAGAGAAAAATAGAGAGAGAGAGAGATAGAGAGAGAAATGACGAGAGAGAGAGCGACGAGAAAGCTCCAGAGAGAGAACGAGAGAGTATTAGAGAGAGCAGCAGAATGCAGAGAGACGACGAGACCGAGAGAAGAGAGAGAGACAAGAGAAAGGGAACACAGGAGAGAAAATATTATATATATATCATATTTAGATATATAGAATATAATATATAGTATATCACTATATATATAATCTTGTCATTCACTCCCAGTAAATCCCAGTACTGGAAACGCTCCAGCCTGCTGTCGCATGCGCATCTCATTTCTAGTCGGTTAATTGACTCATTGCAGTGCTTGAACCCAGCAACTTACCTGCCCAGCAACGAACCGCACAATCACAACACACACAACACACACACACACACACACACACACACACACACACACACACATACCACACACACACACACCAACAAACACCCCCCCCAACCCCAGCACACACACCACACACACACACACACACACACACAACACACGCACCACATATTATATATATATATAATATATATATATATATATATATCTATATATATATGCGTGGTGTTTCGCCGTGCGTGAGGCCCATGTCGTCTGGGATTGGTATATACGGGGGGGGTACCGTTCTAGCGGCCGTAAGCATGTATGTACGGCGGGTGCGCTACAATCGTTGTATCAGGACAGAATGCAAGCTCTCGCTATCTCGCCGTGCGGGCTAAAGGCGCATGCAGCCGCGTGTGTGTGTGAATCTTTTCGGCTCACACAGGACTGCCACAGTGAGGCAGCATACCATACCAATTCCAAGAGCTTAATATACCGTAGAGTGTACAACGGAAAACGGGCAAAATAGCTGCATTTTCACGACAACATTATTCTACTGTTGCCTAGCGGTCTATTAATACATTTCATGGATATTGCCATTAAGCAGATTCATTTGTTTCTAAACAAGCCACCGCCTTGTCAATACGAATACTCTAGCCGGAGAATATCGGCTTCCTAAACCCTCCCCTCCCACATGCCAAACGCGGCCTCGAATCCACTGTTCTGTCCCCATCCTTCAAACGCAGTCTAAGCATTTTCGCGCTATCGGTTTCCGGGTCACGCTTGGCAGCCGGCTCTCTGCATAATTGACATGTCACATGCCCAAATTTGGTACTCTTCTAGGCGGCGTGATTAGAGACTTAATTAAAACAACTTGCGCGTCCATCATGACGGATTAGCCCGTTGCTAGGAAGATAATGCGGCAGATAAGGCGCATAGGCGATGCCCCCGAAAGTCACCTCCACCCCTGCCACCTGCACCCGAAAAATTCATTCATATTATGGTGGAAACCGAACTCGTCACGAAGCAACGCTTTAGCGCCGTGCAAGGACTGGGGACAGAATGTGGATTCCGAGGCGGCCGTTTGCGCATTGTGGGGAGGGGAGGTTTAGGGAGCCGATATCTCGCCTCAGGAGTATCGTATTGACACACGCGGTTGGTCTTGTTTTAGAGAGCAAAGAATTCTGCTTAATGCAATACCATGAAATATTATAAGAGCTCGCAGCGCAAAGTATGAATAATGTTGTCGTGAAATAGCCACTATTTTCCACGTTTTTTTCCGTTGTACACTCTACGTATTATTAAGCTTTGATTACAATCAAGAGCGTATAAGAAAGGAGAGGCGTACAACGCCGTAACAATGCTTCGAACCATTGTTGCCAGTATTAGTCAAATTAATAAACTTTCCCCGTTTTAGATTTGACGATTTCTTGCAGTATTATTGATCAGCTGTCCTACCTGGTTCATATACAACAAACCGCATGCCCCTCGTGCCCCCTAAGTGTCTAATAACTATCGGTAAACCATCGCGATGTTTCCAGTCAATGATTGACAAATGCGAACTGAATGACGTCTGTTATCTGATTGCCATAGTATGACCACCCCCCTGTGCCACCTCGATCGCCCACCTCAGCGTATAGTAAACTCTAGGAGTATTACGTGATCGTGCCAGCGCCTATCGGGCTACACAGCGGCGACCGGAAGCAACACACTGGAAACACTTCGAGAGAGGTTTCAAGTACTGCACTAATGATCTAGTCGGTGTCAGCGAAATATTCAGATTATTCCACACGCTCATATCTCAGCGTATGGACATCGTTAGCGGACGATGCGGTTTATTTCTATGATGAACAGGTAGGACGCCTGATCAATAATACGCAAGAAATCGTCAAAATTAAACGGGGGGGAAGTTTATTATTTGACTGAATACTGGCAACATGGTTCAGCATTTTACCGTGTACGCTCTCCTTCTTTATACGCCTCTTCGATTACATCAGGAGGAGAGATTATAACACTTTGTGTATTATCTACTCTTTGATACAATCGATAGCTCATGACGAAAACATTGTGCACTTAACGCCACTTTCTCTTCGCGAAATTGCAGGCCAAAACTAGGGAGGCCAGTCCGCGAAAAGTCGTCGTCGTCGTCGTCGTTGTAGTAGTAGTAGTAGTAGTAGTAGTAGTAGTAGTAGTAGTAGTAGCAGCAGCAGCAGCAGCAACAACATTAGTAGTAGCAGCAACAACAGTAGTAGTAGTAGCAGCAGCAGCAGCAGCAGCAGCAGCAGCAGCAGCAGCAGCAGCAGCAGCAGCAGCAGCAGCAGCAACAACAACAGTAGTAGTAGCAGCAGCAGCACAGCTGCGACCTACCATTCTAAAGCCCGGCGCACACGTGGGTAATTTTACTCAAGTAAAAATTAATGATGCATGCGTCAAAATACTCACGTGTGCGCCGGATTTTCAATGAGTTTTCTGACGCATGCATCAAGAAACTCAATATCAAACATGTTTGATAATTTTTGACTCATGCGTCAAAATATTCACGTGTGCGCCGGATTTTCGTTGAGTTTTCTGACGCATGCATCAAGAAACTCAATATCAAACATGTTTGATAATTTTTGACTCATGCGTCAAAATACTCAATGTGTGCGCGCTAGCTGCGTAAATTTACTCAACACTGGTACTCACAGCGCATGCGTTTAAACTATTGTGCGCTCAGTATTGGCTGCGCACAGTCACGTGATCTGCATTACCACTTATACCTTGAGTAATTTTACTCACGTGTGCGGCGAACGCTGAAAATATTTCGCGTGAGTATTTTGACGCATGCATCATTTTACTTGAGTAAAATTATTCACTTGTGCCCCGGGCATAACTCATAGATATCTATGCATGTCCTAACTGGACCTGTTTCTGCGTTTGTTCGCAGGGCGGCGTGCGTGTCGTATACTGTCTCTGCAGCGACCGAGGTCATCACCGAGCCTTAAGTAATCAGCGGAGAAGATTCAAGTGACGCATCTGTCGGTAAGCCAAATACTAACCACTGGGCAGCGTTTGTGTTGCGCGTACGTTTGCGTGATTCATCGCTGCGCTTATGTCTAATAACGAGTCGCCCGACATTTATTTACTGCTGATTCCTTCCACGAACACGCCAAAGCGGCTCACTTGACCTTAATTGTGAAATGAAGCTATTTGGCGGATCTGCACAGAAGAGTACGCAGACAAGAGCCTTCCCAACGGGATGTCATTTTACCGATTTCCTATTTATCCCGCGTCGGTTCCGACGTGAACAGCGGCGGCACGCAACCTAGCTGCGTATGTCGTCGCAGGCATCGACAGCAAGCGACAGCGACTACCGCCCCCATCCGATATCGTATTATAACGTCCGGATGCTGCAGCTATATGAAAGGTTTCAGAAACCTCATATCTTTCCAATAGGCAAAGCTTTAATCAAGTGGCCGTCGTGAGAACGAGCGTGTTGTGTACACTGCATGATTGTATTTGCGTTCACGTTTCCGCGCTCAACCCTATTCAAATAAGCACTGCAATAACCGGACGCAATTCTACACTCCCCTCGCGCTGAGACAAAAACGCATATACGCCTACAACTGTTTACTACTATAACCTTCAATCTGCAGGCAAAATGTCAGCTCACAGGGGTTCTTAGTCACATCGACAACATATGCCACCAGTAACAGCTATTATATACGCCGTATATACGCCAAATACCATTCCTTAATAACCGTATATGCTACCAGTATAATTTCTTATTCACAATATGTGTCACCAGTAACATTTCCTTAACACCGTATATATGCAAGCAGTACTATCGTATATGTGATTAGTACTAAAGACTACCTGCTGGTAGTTGCACTGCCTTAACTTTACTGGAAGCATGGCGTCAGACCTATACCAAGAGCATGACATGATACCTCTACTAAAGCCGTGGTATAAGAGTTATCTCTCTCTATCTCACTCTTTCTACCGAGCATGAGCTAAGCATATTGTCAGCGACACCAACTTTTCGCAACTAATTTGCATATGCATAATCGGATGTCGCGGGATAATTAGATGAACGTCGCGTGTCCGGAAATGAAACGTCGCCCGTAAGCTTGGAATAAAACGACTAATTACATGCTTTCTTCCCCGAATCCTCATCGCATTCAGACATTCTATAGCGTCGCCATCATCATCATCACCATCATCATCATCATCATCATCATCATCATCATCATCATCACCATCACCACCATCACCACCACCATCATCATCATCATCACCACCACCATCATCATCATCATCATCATCATCATCATCACCATCATCATCGTCATCATCATCATCATCATCACCATCATCATCGTCATCATCATCATCATCATCATAATCATCATCATCACCATCATCACCATTATCTTAATCGTCGTCGTCATCAACATCATCATCATTATTACAATCATCATCATTATCATCATGGTCATCATCAATCATCATCGTCGACGTCGTCCTCGTCGTCGTCGTCGTCGTCGTCGTCCTCGCCATCGTCATCGCGGCGGTTTTTGTTTGCAGCCAAAGTTTTCTTTCTTTCTCATCCTTCGCTAAGAACGATCGTCGGCTGTCATCACCTGCTCCTGTCTCTTTCTCTCCGCGTTTTCCGCGCGCACATGAATCACTGAAGCCATTATGGCGTGTTACCCATCTCAGACTGTTTGTTTCGTCGGTCGGCGAGCGACCAGTAGCTTCGATGTGGCATTATCGGTGAGGTGCGTGCTTCGCACACGTAAGGCGTCCTTCTTATACGTCGGCCTCTGCATGCAGGACGCCAATCACTCAAATTGACACTCATTGGGGTTGTCTGTCCGCTCTCCTTGCGCTTGTCTTTCCGCAGCGAACACACGCACAGAACAGATACCCGTGTCGCGATAAGCGAGTGTGTAGTCATGTCGGCGGACGGTCGTGAAGGGAGTGATTGGAAAATCGAACACGATGACCATTTTTCTCTCTCACTAATTTGCGTCGATTCCTCGTTTTTTGCACAAGCGTTGTTCAGCGGACCGGCCCACGTCACTTTCTGAAATTGCGTATTATAATTGAACTGTAATTAAGTTAATCATCCCAGACTATGAGCGCCCGACAGCTTGTGACAAAGCAGGCGGACTCGCAGCCGGCTCTATTTTAACGTTAACGATTTAGGCGGGAAGTAAATTAGGCCCTACAGCGCTCGGGATGGCGGCCGCCGTTGCACGGTGGAGATTGTCTGCTATAGTTACGTATGAATAATACACACTCCTCCCTAATTACGTTAACAGCGTTCGTTGGATTTGAGTTATTCAAAAACCTAGCGTCGCGGCCGCTGGCCAGCCCTCCAGCTGATGCCCGCACGGACAACCAAAGGTCAAGTGTAGGTTGTCGTCCTGCATTGTTCACTTGTTTCGTAGGTTTAAGCTTTGTGTCCTCGATGTTCAATAATTTCCCTGTCGTTGAACAAACAGGTGAAAACACCCTAGGAAATGATTAGAGAGCTATGTTTGTTCGTCGCTGGCTGAGTGTTTAAGGTATGCTCGAGAGTCGCTCATGCAACGCGAACATACACAAACACGCAGACACACACACACACAGGCACACAGGCACACACACACGCACACACGCACACACACACACACACACACACACACACACACACAC